ACAGGCTTCTGCCTTGGCCAAAAAGGTAAAGAAAAAAGAAGAGTTCATCCAAATCACAATAAAAAAAATTAAAAAAACAAAAAACAGAAGAGGGCTGAAAATTGACACTCAAAAAAGAATCTAAGGGGATGGATAGTTTAGTTAATGGTCATTAAATGAAAGATGCTTTCTCCCGATCTAACCACTCTGGAAAAGAATTGTTCAGCATTTCAGAAGCAGCTGATACTTGACATGTCTGGCCTAAGACAAAATTGCACAATGGTATATTTTGGCTTCTGTTTCCTTCATATCATGGGTCAACTCCCCTTTCATCTCTCAAACATGTCCGCACTGTCAGAGTGGGTCATCTCTCTCTTTTGGCTGCAGTTCCAAAGAGGAATTCACTGGCACAAACACTTTTAGTGGCTGCCTGATACACTGTCTGTGCTACATGTCCACATTTAATCTTCATGAATGCTAATAGTTGTTAATTGCCATCAGAGGACGAACAGATGCACAAGTGTCATCACAAAATGGGATTTGTTAGTATGGAAAAGAGAATGTCTGTTCAGTTCAGCCAACTAGATTGCCAAAAAGCCGGTTCCATTCCTTCTTACTTTATGCTTTTAGCAATTTGTGTGACTGAATATTTATCTTCTGTCAACTAGTCCTGTAATAGTCAATCCTTTTGTTATTTAGGAAGTAAAACAAGACATTTCTTTTGTGTTAATATCATGAGATACTGTTTATAGGCAGCTGTTAGAGGGTTGAGTGATCCATTTATTTTGGTTTCCGAGGTAAAGGCACATTGATTTATACAGCACCTGCTGCTAATGCTTGATGTGTGGTGGTGAAGATTGAGCTGGTCAACATAGGGGAGCTGTTTACATGATCAGTAAAATTATCTGACTGGAGACTGTACAATGTGCATGAGGATACTAGTACCTACACTCCGTACTAAAACCATAAACACACCCTACAGTGACCCCATTCTGAAACTTGAATTCTGCAAAGAAGTTACAAGTTCAGCTCCTGAATATGATCTGTTCTAAATGGCAATTAACTAATGTAAATCGTGCACTCCTGGTTCAGGCCCCAGAACCATGGTAACATCCCAGCAGGAAGAAGGCTTTGCACTCCTGGTTCAGGCCCCAGAACCATGGTAACATCCCAGCAGGAAGAAGGCATGATATTGCTCTTTACAACAGCCTCTCTCTCCCCACCTTTTCAGATAGTTTTCCATAGTCCTCCGTCTTCCAAACCTCAACAGATCCAGTTATTGCACTGTTTTCTTTGCAGTGGAAATGGAACTCTTCTCCTGTGTTAGAATTTCAAATTACCTGACTTATGGAATGAATCACAGCCCTTTAGGTCATGTAAGCTAAAAGAGTTATCAAATGTACTGGTCAGAAAGCTACTCTCAGAAAAATGGGGTGCTCTAAGGAAAGGATAGAAATTCAGGATAGTGATCAGGTAGTATAAAGGCAAAGATTTAACCTCAGATTTAACCTGAGAACCTGCTATTGGGTCATCAGTCAGTGCCAAAAGCTGTTTTTAGGGGAGAGTTGTGCATTTGAGCTGTGGTGCTGAAGAGTAATGCATATACCATTGACTGCCAAGAGAACAAGTTCATCCTGGAGGGTTAAACCAGGCTGCTCCTTGGAGGTAAGGATTCTGAAGCGTCATCTGACGTACCCTGGGCATGTTCCAAGGAGGGACCAGTCCTTGGAATGGGACAACATGCTTGGGAGGGTGGAGGGATAGCACAAAAGAGAAAGACCTTCGAATTGGGGTAGGTGTGTCAGACATTAAAGTTGGTACAACATAAAGCAGGGTTCAGAGCTTTTTTACATGTCACTGTTAAGTTTGGACAGCATTTAACAGAATCCTTACAGAGGATGTTGTGTAAGTTAGAACACTGCATGATTTAAAATTGACAAAGGTGGGTGTCAAGGTTGTAACCTTTCTCTACACCTATTAAATCTAAATGAGTCAATTACTCAAGAAGCTATGAAGAAAAATGTGACATCAGGACTCGAGTTAACCTAATAATCTTCATTATGCAGGTAACTGCTTCAAGTGAGGATTTGAAGCACTTTCTGCACAAAGTATCGCTTCCACCTCATGGCGGCTTTGAAGTGTGGTGTAGAGCTACAGATCCCATTAACTACCAAAGAACAGATTACCTGGGAAAAGGGTGCAGTCAGAGCACCTAACATATTTTGGGAATGTTGCTAGGTTATTCCTTCGAGAGGGTAATCATGCCTGGGAAGGTAGAAGGGCAAGGAGGAAGACCCTCAATGAGGTGGATTGATAGTGACTGCAGCAATGGGCTAATTTAGTATTTTGGAAACCATACAAATCGCATAGGAGTTGTTCAGACTGGCTTCTCATAGGGTCAGTGAGTGGTACTCAGTGAAATGGCACCTAACAATCCTTATGGAAGATACACTGTGCTGTAATGTATGTTGGCCATTTTATGAAAAGTCCTAGTGGGCTGAAAACTGCCAACCTTCTAGTTAGCAGCTAAGTAGAGTTCCTCCAGTCAAAATCCAGTGTGTTCCCAATGGCTGTCTGGTTTTCTTCAAAGTTCTGTTGTGCCATCACCATTCATTGTACCTTTATTAGGTAAAACTAAATTCCGTTCACAGGGACCTTATCAACAGATCTGAACCCTGGCTCATTCTATGCCATCACTTTGGACATTGCAGAGACCACTGTACCAGTCACTGCATCCATGTATCTTGTTGAAGTTGAGGCTTCCTTTTACCTAACCTCCACCTTCCCATGAATCCTATCCCTTTTCCAAAGACTAGCCTTTCACTCACTACAATATGCCCAAAATGTTTATGACAAAGCTTTGTCATCTCAAGGAGCATTCTGGCTATACTTACTGGATTATCCATTCTTTTGACAAACAGCTCTACTAGGACTTACAGAAGGTATCTCTCTTGAGGGTTCTGGCAAACAGTGGAAAATGTAGTTCCTGCTTTAAATTTACACTGTCTTTGGGGAATGATAGCTTAATGCTCTTTTAACAGGTTTTTTGTGGATACTCAGTATAAGCATTGATGCCAGAGTTCCAATCCAATCCAATTCTTTTCTTTTGAGGCCTTACAGAAAGAAAGCTAATCTCTAAACTTTATCACTTATATAATAGGAATAATAGTGAAAAATACAACTGGAAAATGATTCCTCACATAAATTTAGCCGTGTCTGGCACACAACAAATTTTAAGTTATCTAGTGTCTAGTTCACCCAACAGACATTCATGACTATATTAAACATCTCTCCTCTTCCTCATAATGTTGTTTTTCAACAAAGATCTTCATTGCGTCAGTTAACTGTGACTAAATTACTCACTAGCTAGTTTAACTCAAAAAAAATACACTGTTTCTCCAAGTCCTTTACATGCTAGGAACAGTAACAAAAAAATATACAATTGGGTCTGCTTGCTCCACAGAATAAACCCAAAACCACCACTTACAAGTTCAATATATTTTCTAAAGTGGGAGAAAAAGGAGGTATTTTTTTTTTTAAAAAAAAGATCCTCATAACCAAATTTCACATTATTGTAACTGAAATTTTATTTTATGTACAAACTGGAGATCTTGTTTCTTGCCATGTAGAGGTCTCGGGTAGGCAATCCAAGAAAGATCACTTAGTCCAACTGAAAAAGTAAAATGGAATTATTTTAAAATGCTGTCAAAATCTGGTTCATCACATGCTATTTAAACTGGAAACTTTACCCACTTTAGTGTTTTTTTTTAAATCAAATTTCACAGAGACTTTGGATTTACAAACCAACTATGACTGTTGTTTACTGCCTTCGGGTTGAGCATGACTCATAATGACCTGATGAACAAAAGGCCTGAAGCCCCTCTGCAAATACTGACAGTTATCAAAGTTCATAGTTTCCAAAGGCAGGTTGTTGAGGAAGTGGATGCCACTCCTGCTTTCCAAAATCAGCTACTCAGTATCTCAAAATTAAAGAGTCCACAAACCTCACCATATACATTTTACATTGGAAACGCCTGCCACAACCTCAGGTTCACCTAGACCTCTGACCCTCAACAAGTATACTGTCACTTCTTCCCATAACGTTCCCATATAAAACACCACTACATAAAATTCTTTTCATAGAAAGTTATTGTTAATTAACTTTTTGTATGAACAAAAGGCCTGAAGCCTTTCGGTAACTGTCAACATTAATCAAAGTTCATAGTTACCGCAGGCATTTAGGCCACAACTATTAACTCCACTAGTATCTGTTTGCCAGTCACTATCCAATGAGGGTCAAAATTAGTATATCTAATTTTAGTAAGAGAAACACAGGTAAGCCATAGTCCATTTTCTCATCTGCCTTATTACTCGTTTCACATGACTGCCCGCCACATACTAAGCTTAAACATACATCATCTCTGCTGCAAAAAGCCATCTGAATTTCTACCTTCTAAGAGGCCTAGTATTTTAATGCAATGCGTTTGTTGCTAACCTAAAGTTCAGATGCTGAAACCCGCCAACAGCTCCCCAGGAAAAGAACATTTCATTTCCTGAAGCCCAACTGTGGGTGCCAGGAGTTCTAACAAACTCAGCCAACAGATCTGAGTCTTTGGAATTTCTAGTAAAAGCCCTCCCCCCTTTTTACAAGCAATCAGCATCTGGAGCCTAAACAAAAATTAAATATAAAACAGAAAGCTGTTAAAAAAAGACTTTATAGCGAAGATCTGCTAAAAAATTAACTTCCAGCTTTAAGAGGAAAAAAAGTCAGCCGTATTTGAGAGGTTTTAAGAGGGGCAAGAGTTTCAATGAATGATTTTTGCAACCGCCCCGGCATTTTAGTCGTTACTGATGGAAACGCCCGTGTACTCCTATAACCAGGAATTTTATCTACAACAGCCTCCTTTTTAAGCCTTCACAACTGCACCTCTGGTTCTATTAATCTGACCCGAAAACACACGAATGTTCCGTGTCAACCGCAGTTAGGTAACAAAGAAACGAGGCGAGGCGGGTCTAAAGCCCTAAGAAACAGCCCTTTCCCGACCCCAGGACCGAGAGCATGGCGCCCCCACCTTGATGAAGCCGATATCCTTGGCGTACTGCCGGAAACACTGGCGGCACATATTCAGTCCATATTTCCGGATCAGTCCGTGGCGGTTTGAGCACACGCGGCTACAAGAGAAGAGAAAGTGCTAGAAGTTAGGAGACCCTCCACTCCAAAGGCCGCCACCCGCGCAAGCCGCTCTGCCCGGCCTCACTGCCACCCCGTAATGGCGGCGGTCGCAGTCCAGCCTCAATGTCGCCCTACGCTCCGACTGCAGTCGCCGCTGCGCTTGTCACTAGCGTCCCAGAGCAATCATTTTCCGAAACTACATCGTTTCTCACCAGGAGCGGGAGCCCTGGCCGAATTTTCGCGGGTGACTCCAGTAGAGCTGCTGATGACCCATCTTGCTTGGATGGAAGCACCAAGGCAAAAAAGACCGAAGCAGTCCGCGCGTGCGCTCTTCAAGTTTCTGCGACACGATTTACCCAGAGTGCACCGTTGCCATGGAACGCGTGCGCAGTATGGCAACCCCGCTTTGCGCATGGTAGAGAGCCGACTCTACAAGAAATGGTAGGCTAACGCAGGTGGTGACGTCACCGCACCGCAGCTTCTAAGGCATTCCTAGCAGCCCCTGTAACTGCCGGGCGTGGTGGCGCGCGCCTGTAGTCCCAGCTACTCGGGAGGCTGAGGCTGGAGGATCGCTTGAGTCCAGGAGTTCTGGGCTGTAGTGCGCTATGCCGATCGGGTGTCCGCACTAAGTTTGGCATCAATATGGTGACCTCCCGGGAGCGGGGGACCACCAGGTTGCCTAAGGAGGGGTGAACCGGCCCAGGTCGGAAACGGAGCAGGTCAAAACTCCCGTGCTGATCAGTAGTGGGATCGCGCCTGTGAATAGCCACTGCACTCCAGCCTGGGCAATATAGCGAGACCCTGTCTCTTTTGAGCCCCCCAAACCTGACATTTTGAACCTCCAACGGGAACGAATTAATATAATTCCATTTTATCTATTAAGTCTTCAAACTACTATTTTCATACAAATTTTACATTTGGGAAGGATTTAGTCCAACTCGGTACTGACACCTATTGGGGTAAATGAGAAAATAACATAAAATCACCTGTAATAATCAGAATGAACAATAGGAGGTGGTATTATGTGAAACACTATCCTTTCAAAGGGTTTTCCCGTTTTTAGTAAGTAGTACTATATTGTTTTGGGGGTTTGTTTTGTTTTTTTAAATTCATTTTAATGAAAGTTTACAGAGAAAGGGTTTCCAGTTATTTGTTGTTGCACTTTTCTCCCTGTCAAACCCCTACCCCCAATTCACTCTTCTCCTTGAAAAGAAAAACTCTTTCATTGTTATGCAGTCCCATCCATTCTTTTTTACTATTTTATTGATATTTTAAAAAAAGTTTACAGAAAGCTGGTATTTCCGTTCATTTATTGTTGCACATTTTCGTCCCTACCCCCTCCCACAGTTCGCTTTTCTCTTTAACAAGATTCTTTTATTAATACACAATTTTCTCCCTCCTCCCGCCCTCCAGTCCACTTTGCAATGCACCTCTTTTAAATTGACACCAAACACTCCTAAAGAAATACTCTTTTAGCATACTCAGGTTTCACTCTGGAGCTTACTAGTCTTTGGTCTTTTACTAAAGATTTTCCAGGGTTGGAACCATTATAAGAAATACTCTTTAAATTTTTTTTTTTATTCTTCATATATTTCTATTTCAATTTAGCTGGCTTCATTGAGGGAGAAGCAAATATGCAGTACACATTGCTTCAACCAAATGATTAACTGACAAAATAACCAATGAAAAACCATATGCCGTGCGGAAAATTCTCCTGGTCGGTGGTCAGATCCTTGCAGCGCTATTTCTCCCTGGTCAGTAAGTTTCCTGTCCCAATAAACTGAAATTAATGTAAAAAAAAAATCCAAATGCCATCTGACAATCTCCATAGGCAGAGTTTAGAGTTTGTTTCTACACGTTATGTGCCATCTAGTCACTTAATAGCGACCCTATGCACAATAGCTCTTAATCCTACCCAATCCTGACCTAATGTCACTATCCCCATCACTGCAATTACTGGGTAAATCCATCTCATCCAAGGTCTTCCTTTTCTGCACTGGCTTTCACTCTACCAAGCTTGATGTTCTTCTCCAAGGACTGGTTCCATCCTGGCAACATCCCCAAAATATGTGAAACGGAGCTTCAAAATCCTTGCCTCCAAGGAGCAACTTGATTTCACCCTCTCTGGGGCAAACCTGTTTGTTCTCTTGGCAGTCAGTAGTTTGTTCTTTTCTCCAGCACCCCAACCCCGAGGCTGAGTCATAAGCACGGCAAAAAACAACAAGAACAATAGCAAAAGAGAGGACAACCCTCAGCCAAATAGACTGAGATAGCGGCTGCAATAATAAGTGTGTCAGGGATGACAAGGATGATGCAGAATAGAACAGGGTTCAGATCTGTTGTAATAGGGTCGCGATGATTTATACACGACCTGATGGCATCTAACCACAACAATTTGAAAACAATACTACTGTTTGATCCAGCAATTCCACTACAGGTATATAGCCTAAGAAATAAGAGCTGTAACATGAACAGATCACTGCACACTCATGTATATTGCAGCATTATTTACAAAGGCAAAGAGCTGGAAACAATCCAATGTCCATCAACAGATGAAGGATTAAAGAAATCCTGGTGTATTTACACAATAAAGTACTATGCAACATGCAACAATGGTAAAGAATTCAAGAAACACTGTATAACACAGATCAATCTAGAAGAAATTATGCTGAGTGGCATGTCAATCATAAAAGGACAAATATTATACATTATTTTAAAAACTAGGGAAATATTTACCACAAAGAGTAATTCATAGATGAGAAAGGAAGGAAAAAGTAAAAGTTAGTAGATAACAGGCACATACTAAATTGGGTGAAAGGGTTAATCACAAGGGAGCTCTGGTGGCCTAGTGGTAAAGAGCTGCAACTACAATCTCAGAAGTGCACGGTTCAAATCCACCAGATGCTCTGCCGGGAAAGGAGGGTCAATCTCCTCCTGTACCAGTCAGATCTGATTTGACGGTACATTCACACAAAAATAATAAAAATTAAAAAAAAAGAAAGGGTTAATCATATACTATAATTGAACTAGTGAATTGTAATTAATGCTATAAAATATGTATGAATAATTGAATGAAAAATCAATAGGATTTGTAAACTAGTAATCAAGTTACAATGAAAAATAAGGTTAAAAAAAGACCACTGTTGTAAAAAGCTTTTCTTCAAAAGTAACTACACTTAAAAAAAAAAAGTAACTACACTTGTACAATCTCCTAAACTATCTGGATGTCTCAAATAGTTCTTTAAAAAAAAAAAAGTATACTCAAATAGTTCTTATTGTTTATTCTTCTCTTCAATAGAGCTATTATATTTCAGTTGAGAAGTCATGCTTCGTTTCCATTTTCAGGTAATGTAATACCATCTATCTCAGCCAATGGGATTATCAATTTCTTTTTCAGTAAGAAAGCTAAGAACACAGACTTAAAAGTCCATTTTAATCCAGGATTTATAAAGAGCTTTTAGCTTAATCCTGTGCTCGTCTTACAGCTCCCCAGCATCTTTTTCTATTTGACTTTTAAATTCTTTTTTTGGAACACATTTTCTCCCTAGTAGAACTTTCTGGGTTTGAGATCTTAAAGGGAAAAAAATACAATAACATACAACAAAGAAAAAATTTTGCCTAATCTCCTTCCCAGATAACCTATATTGATATTTCCCTTTTGAAAAAATAAAATACACTTCTAAGACTAAAACATTCTAATAGTACAAAGTCTACTAGTTGATTTGTTTGCTGTTTTTTAACTGCAAGTTAAGACATAGTCCCATTTTCTTTCTCAGCTTATTCTCACAATCATTTGTGATCATATATCTAGAATTTTGTCTTTCACGTTCAGAAGATATTTACATCCGAGTAAGAATTACATTCAATTTCAGAAGCTTTAGGAATAGAATCATACCTACTCCAGGGACCTCTCCAAAATACTAAAGAGCAATGATGTCAGCTTGAAGACTAAGATGCGCCTGATTTAGGCCATGGTCTTTTCCATTACTTGCTATGCATCTGCGAGCTGGACAATGAATAAGGATGACAGAAGATCTGATGACTTTGAGTTATGGTGCTAGAGAAGAGGTCTGAATATCCCATGGACTGCCAAAAGAACAAATAGTTGTGTCCTGGAAAGGGTGTCACCAGGGTGTTCCCTGGAGGCAAGAATGGCAAAGCCTTGTCTTTCATACTTTGAATATATAGCTTGGTGAAGCTATTCCTTGGAAAGGGACATCATGCTTGGCAAACTGGAGGGCCAGTGAAGGAGAGGAAGATCTGAAAAGAGAGGAATTAATGCTGTGACTTCAGCAATGGGCTCTAGTATCTCAGAAATTATGAGGGTGGCACAGAATAGGACAAGTTTCAGGCTGGCTGTTCATTGAGCTGCTATAAGTCTTACTCAGCTTGATACCACCTAACACCAGCCTTCTTAAAAACCATTTTACCAAAGACAAGTTCTAAGATCAATAATATGCTCATGTCAGCTTCATCAGCCAATTCTTTCCAGTTAGTCAGAATTAGGCATTGAATTACTTAATTGATCCTTTTTAAAAATTCAATATTTGAAAAAAAAAATAAACCCAATATTTGGTAGCATGGGAACTACAGGATCATTATGAGATAAATTCAACTCAGCATCACTTAACAAGAGCATATGTGTGGATATTAACATTTTTTTATGATTATTGTTTTGTTACATATTTTAAAGTAATGCATACTTTCATGAAAGATGTTTAAAGTAAAACTTCCTTGGGTTTGATTCCCGAAGCTTAGACTAAACCTGTCTTATACAGATAACACAATCTTGCTTGCTCAAAGTGAGAAGGATTTGGAATGCTTGCTGCAGAAAATCAAGAGCCTTCAGTGTGGATTACATCTCTATATTAAAAAAAAATCAAACAACACACCAAACACACAACCAACAACAAAGGTCTTCAACACTGGGCCAATAAGCAACATCATGATAGATGGAGAAAATTATCAATTATTTTATCTTGCTTAAATCAACAATCAACACCCTTGGCATCACAGCCAGGAGATCAGGAGAGGTATTGCATGAGCAAGTTTGCTGTCAAAGATCTTTCCAAAATACTGAACAGAAATGATGTCAGTTTGATGACTAAGGTGTGCCTGATTTAGGCCATGGTCTTTTCAATCACTTGCTGTATCATTGTTAACTGAACAGTGAATAAAGATGATAGAAGAATTGAGTCCTTTGAGCTGTGGTAATGGAGAAGAATAATAAATACCCTATCGACTGCCAACAGAACAGATGTCTTGAAAAGAATG